CAAAAAATAACAGACGTTAGTTGTCGTGTTGCGATCGATGTGCTTAGGTGCGCTGAATTACCGGACGGGATTGTACAACTTCAATACAACCCGGAAGTAACACTTACTTGGCTGCGATTTCATCCCATTCCCATATTTTGGCCGTGTAGGTGACTGTTGACGAAAACGGGCAGGACAATTTACCCTGTCGCGCCTTCACTTCGTCAGCTATCAAATTTATCTCGGAAGGAGAAAAGTTTGAGTGCCGGTTACGCTTCCGTATGACTGACAGCTCGGACATTGACATTGTTGTCGTCAGCAGGTGCGAGCAGGGGCGGTAATTCACGTGATAACTAGGGACGCTTCCGAAATCCAGCTCTGAAGAGTTCAGCCTTAGTTAAGGTTACGGCTAAGGTTCGCGTCCGAGTTAAGGTTGCCCTAAGGTTGTTTTGTGCAACGGGCGTAACTTTTTCTTAAGGAGATCGTAACTCTAACCTTAGTGTTTGAGGATGACCTTAGCTAAGGTTGTTTTGAACAACGGGTCCCAGGTCAACACAGTGACGTCTTACCGGAAGCAGGCTTTCGGCTTGAGGTTACGGTCATCGGAATTTTAGAATAGGGTCCGTAAGTAGGTCACGGCACTTCGCGAGACCTTAGGACTTTCGGTGACAAACAAAGTTTCATACCTTTTTGAATGGTTTCATTTTTGTCAGTTGACAGTAAGGAACCAATAATCATTGCAGGGATAACACATTTCCGATCCAATCTTAAATAGACAACTATTACCACTGTCAATAGCTGTGACATCCAAGAATAGTTGTACATTTGGTGCGGTCTAGTAGGGTCATATTTGGCGGTCGCGCAATTTAGAAACATAACTGGTTCTTGAATAAACGCTTGCAACCGGAAATCTGGTACCCGAAGAAAGCTAGGCCCCGTCTCTTATATAGCAAGTTGGCGCGCGCAAAGGGAGACGGGAACCAGACTTACAGGCCCTATCATATTCCGCCAGTGACAGTAGATAATTCACATAGATTGGCTGATGTATTGCCAATGTGATTAAAATAAAATCTAAAATCATTCAAGGGCCGTTGGGGAGGCCGAATGGCTCGTCACGCCAAAGACTTGGGTTCGATTCCCCACATGGCTACAATGTGTGAAACACATTTCTGGTATCTCCCGCCATGATATTGCTGAAATATTGCTAAGAACGGCGTAAACCTATAATCACTCACTCACTCAAATCACGAGACTCGAATCATTTCACAGGAATTGATCAATCGTAAACTCATTGCAAATACCTGGCTGAGAATAAGACATTTGGTAAAAACAGAATAATATCTGACACACAATATACAAGAAGCTTTAATCCAGCTTGTTGGTCGAATGTCATTGTCTGATTTGTCTATGCGAGTTTAGGGGGGGAGTACGGACTGAGTGTAAACTACATGAACAGCTTTATAGTTGTAAGGTATTTCATCATAAGTTCCAGTTAAAATCCGTCCATATCATGAACATATGCGCGTGAATTACAATGAAAGATGATACCAGGTGTTCGCCAGAAGGTGCGTGTATCCCGCCCCCACAGGCTGTATCCGTCACAAAACCACACAAGAAGAATGCTTCCCAGAAAAACAGAAATATAAATGGGAACATGATTAACGTCGAGCGTTTTCAAATCCTAGATATCAGTCTGCACGTGTTATTGAGATATTGAAAATATTGAATGGTACTTATTGTCCAAATGTGGGAGGGAGTCGGCAAACTAAATACCAAAGATTGATATTTTATTGGGCGATTTATAAAGCCTTTATTGTATTGATGAAGTATGATTAATGTGGATTTGTGACTCATTATCATTTATCTTGTGCAAACAAAGTACACATTTTAGCAGTACAGCATGACCAATATATTCACAACATACATCTGACTAGCACCACCCAGGGCTCCAAACACCTCCAAAGTTTCTTGGGTCAGAACCAGGATCTCCATCAGGATAATTGGCTGGCACCATAGTCCTCTTGTACTCCTCAAGCCTGGCTCGCAACTTCGCCACCATGTCCGGCATCGTGTGTGCAAGGTTGTTGTGCTCAGTAGGATCCTCTGGATGTGTGTCAGAATATTTGGTTAGTTTGGTTGGTTGGTTTGTTGTTTAACGCCGCACTCAGCAATGTTCCAGCTATATGGCGGCGGTCTGTAAACAATCGGAACAATTCAGTGATCAACAGCATGAGCATCGATGTATGCAATTGAGATACGATGGCATGTGTCAACCATGTCAGCGAGTCTGACCACCCGATCCTGTCAGTCGCCTCTTACGACAAGCATGGGTTGCTGAAGACCCTTACCAACCCGAATCTTCACGGGCATGTCTTTAGGGAAAGACAGTTCTACGAAAATAAAGCACTCATCATGATGCTGCATTCATTTTTTAATCTGCCAGTGATCAAAGATCTGGGTGGGATGAGGAAAAAACTTGAAAATCACAGTTGATTCTCCAAGGTATCAAGTGTATAGTAGGGCTGGCTAAAATGAACGATAATCGGAAATTCCGTCGATAGGAAGATGATTGATGGTAATCGATATGAAAATTATCGATAATATCGTACATCAACTTATAAATTTAGGGCTTGTTTGTAACTTATGTTCAGGACGTTGTTAAGTCTTCGATATTTATCGATAATCAATCGATATTATCGATCTCTATGATCTATATCGATAGCCAGCCCTAGTGTATACCATTATGGTTCGATCATAAGCACGAGGCCAATCCCAACACATAGAGAAGATATGTTAACAGCAGTAAATATAAGTGCTGCTGGGTAATATGTGCTAACCACTTCGGAGATCCTTGAAAGATACATGACCATCTACATTTACGGTGATTAATTCCATACCTGGAATGTTGAAAAGTTGAACTGGGTCATCTCCTGTGAAGTAAACTGCTTCTTCATAGATGTCCTCTTCGGTTCTGTTCATGGGTTAGTGCCAGCCATCCGGATCTCCAGGGTAAACCAGGATCAGCTTGTAGTCTCCCACCCTTATACATATCATGAAAACATCTCAACATCAAATGGGCATATCTTTGCTGCAGCGGTACTGGGTCCAGTGGCAAGTGATATTCAAAACTGCATCAATAATGTAACTCTGCATTGATGTAAATCGTACAGACAGTTGACAGCTTGCCTATAACCTAAATGGAGAACAAGACACCTTCAAATACCTTATTGCAGCATGTCCTTCCTCTGGAAAGTCGAAGTAGTCCATGTTGTAGATGAACTCCGTCCTAGATGAGGGGAGGCCATTTCGAATAGAATCCCACTGGCTCATTCCATCAATGGTAGTTACTGTGCCCACATGTTATATTTATGAAAGCAGTTTATTGAACAGAACACATTGAATCTGAATGTTAGTCACTGGTTACAAGTGTTAAAGTGTTATTTTGTAAATGGGAATCTGCCTACCTGGAGCAGCAGACACTAAAGTGGGCTTCCAGTCGACAGCGTGGATCATCCTATGTGGAGACAGTAGGGATTAAGACAGAGAAAAACCTACATGACTAAAGCCTGATGACAACATATCCCTTACCTGTAGTTTACAAATACATCCCCACTGAGGGGTATAAAAAAACATACTTTTGAATAAACTAAAATCAAATTAGTTACGTGAGAGTAAAAATAGGATTTGTGACTGTTCTGAATATATCCCATGGTGTTACCCATCGTATGTCGTCCCATTCTTCTGGAGCCCAGCACCATACATGAAGGATGCCCCCTTCGTGCCCCCCTCCCAGATCGTGTACTTCCCTCCTCTCAGAGGCCAGTTGTTGGAATACGCTTGGAGATGGCCTCCATTCTGAATGATCAAAGGTTTATTGCAAGGGAGTCTGACATGATTAGCAGTTGGATAAAACATAACGCACCTGTTATTTTAAGAAAATGTATTTACATGATTTTACAATAAGCGTGCACATTTATAACTTCGACATATTCCTGACTCATACCGTTATAATGGAGAATATGTGCTATTCCTTATGTATAACCAAGACCTGACTAGTTGCATGCGTGTGTTTCCCTTTTTCGTCATCCAATTGCAGAATCCATGACTTGATCATTATTGACTACGAATACAAAAATGCTTTTGCAGAATGACAAAATCTTATATAATTCTGTTGGTTATTGGTAGGTAAAGAACAAGCAAGGCTGATTACAATTAGTCAAAATTTACAAAGCTCTCCACCGAGCTCTGTTTTCGAGTATCATTCTGTACAAACAAGTTCTCCCAGTTGACACTGAAACTAAACTTACATCTGCAGTGAATAGAATTAGAGTATTTTCAAACAAGCCCCGATCCTTCAGGGCTTTGGTAACATAATATAATAAAGTATGATGGCCATATTGATAACAGTGTTAGAAGCTAAACGGAATCGTCGCTTTCATCGCTTGCTTGATAATGGTGTTAGAACCTTCACCGAAATGTCGCTCTCACTGTAATAAAGACGTTGGTCACCCATATATTGTTAATCTGTCTTTGTCAGACTTACTTATATGGTTTTCTAAGATTTAACAGATAATAGACTGTAACGAAAACGACAGAAATTAACGTGCATACCGCTGTACTTTCGTCGCCCTTCATTAATCACGTTCGGATACATATCTTCATACTTCTTTGGCACCTGTAACATCCAACGTAGAGATATATACATAGGTAAACTGAACACACACAAGCGTCTTGTTAACTACAAATGAATATCATCCTAACAACTGTTTTCATGGATGATTCAGTGTCTAATTCTAATCAGTTATGTATGAAACACTGATTTTTGTCAGAATTTATCCAACCGTGAAAACAGACATACATGGGGCCCCTCTGAAAACAGCGTCAACACTAATTGAACTGGTGACAAAGTTAGAACAGGCTTTCTGTTTCCAGAAATGATGTCGACGCAAACAGGTGCGGAATATCAAAGCAGTGCTTTTCATTACCTCAATAGGAGAATGTATGCTCTGATACGGGAGATACATAAACAGCGGCTGTGATACATCATGACGATGGATGATGTCAACGGCTCTCTGGCCGAATGTGTTCTGAAATACATGATAAATATCAACTAATGCAATGGCCGAACAAAGAAACGACTCCCTTGTGAAGTCCATGTATCACAGAAAGTGTGCATTTTTTACAAATATAATCGTGATAAGTAAAACAATGGTCAGCTGAGGTTTGTGCAGTTTCAGCCTGCATAAGACTTACAGCAGAATATTCTCCAGTATAGTTTCTTGCTGGAAGCTTATTATCCCTGAAGTCCAAGTAATCCCCTGATGAAAGAAAATGAAATATTTCAACTATTTAACATCTGCTTAAACTATTATACATTTCGGTTCAACGTGATGTTTTGAAATACACGTACCTAATGGAACATTCAATACTGCCAAAATCATACGCACCAGTAGAGTGAGTGAAATAGTCTTCCCCGGCAGTATAATAACCAAAGAAGTATCAAAGCCTCGGTATGGTGGGGTGCACTCCCACTTGCAATAACCAAGATGCCATCTGGAATAATAGTGCTCATGACAATTAAGAAGCTTCAAAATAACAGTGATGATACTCAGATGCGTTCTTCGGGGTATCTGGAAACTGCCCCCACCCTTTAAACCCAGAAGTCACGATAGCATACATGAATGAATCCACTTACGTTCATATAGAATGACAACAGTTCAAATAAAGATTTAAGTATCGCATCCATTCTACATCTTTGTTTTTATTATTCCGTGCATATCTAATACGGTTTTCTTTCCGTTGTGTAGTATAATGCTTACTTTCCGATTATGTGCGTTGCATAGCCGAGTTTCTTTAGTTCCTGGGGGAGGAATGTAAAATGCTAAAAATTGAAAATTATTTTCACAGACACATGGGTCTAGGTCCAGGAACACGATGTTGCTGGGAATATTCTTACACCTTCATCTGATGAATGAAAAAACCTTGGAAGCAGATAATATAGGTACATGTGAAACAACAGTGATAAGATAACACCAAGGGGAAACCAGTAATTAATTGGTGCTGACTGGTAATTAATCCATGTATACACAGGCATAGCAACTTTCAATATTTAACACAAAAAATGAAAAGTTTAAGACAAAAACGGGAAAGATGAGACTACACAAATGTTAGACAGTTCCCATCGAACAATGAGTGGACGATTTTACCCATACATAGCTAGAGAATGTATCATAGTCTAACGAGTCCGTAGCATGTCCAATGTGTACATGTACATCCTATTATTTTTAAATACACGATATAATTACCCGCATGCCTGCATGGAAAGGATACATACCACTCATAAAGGCGGTCCGAGATCTGAAATAGTGAGTTACATAGTCAACCGAAGAACATAATTCTGCTAGGCTTTGTTTTGATATATATATACAGTGTACAGGAATATTTACATCCATTTGAGCCGGCAATTAAAAACTGTAATATATGTCAAATTACTCTAGAAGGATATGTGAATGTTTATGTTTTATGTGAGATAAAGTATTTTGTTACATCTCTTATGTTTCTTATACAAAGAGAGTGAAATAATATAACAATTTACGGGCTGCAAAGAGGCTGTACGTATGCATTATTAAAGATGCTTCCCTCTGTGGCCAGTTTGTCGATGTTAGGGGTTATCATGTCAGGATTCCGAAAACCAACATCATTCCAGCCTGCGTTAACACAGAGATTTCCCTGAATACACCGTTTATATAGTACGGTAGTACAGAGTGTATATAGTACGGTAGTAATATCATTATTTTGCAATAAGTCACATTGAGAGTGGCATATGATATACGTTGGTAGTTCACATTAGTACTCGCCGTCAATGTTAACACTCACCTAAATCATCTGCCACAATAAAAACGATGTTAGGACGCTGTGTCGATGACAGTGATACGAAAAACAGGAACAGAGCTAGGAGCTGGCGAACCCCCATCACGTTTGCTTATTCTACATAAATGAGACTGCATTATATTATCTGCCTATAAGTAGATCTTGCAGTGTTTAGAAGCCTATACTGATAAAGCCTATCTATATCTCAGACCTGACCTGCATACTCTGGTATTTGTGAAATTCATTGCTGAGTTACAATGAAGAAAGAAACGTTTACACCGTTTCAATGACATTTAGCGACCGATGTATATTTTCATACCATTTTCATGTAACATGCAACCATTTTTTATCTTCAGTCTCTCAACACTGTCCCCAGACAGGTACAACCACTTCGACATACTATTCTGTTTGATAAAGAAAATATGCGGACATTTTTTGTTGTGGACATTTGCACTCATTTATAAAAAGAAACTGAGGAGACTTACAATATGTTCAAGCAATACAGTATATAATTCAATAAAATATTCTGGGCATGTGCTCCAATCAAAAGATAACAGGGAATCATTACACATATTAAAACGGAGGATATCATAGGATATTAGCGTTTTGATCGGTAGTCAGAAGAAGGATCGCCTTTTAAAATGAACGCCATTGCACATTGTTCATGAAAGGATCACTGGAGATTACACAGAGACACATGTGACACATGTGCGTCATGCTGGTCCACGTTTCTCTTTCAAGACGGTAACACTCGTGTCCATGAGGCACATACCGTAACTGGCTACACGTCCCTAGCATGTAAGGACTAGAAGCTGCCAGAAGAGTGGATAAGGCACATCTTAATATTTTCTCGAGATTGATTCGATTTATGCCATGTCGTTTCGCATGATCCTTTAGTCAGGCCACCTCGGACGTTCGTATATGGACTACAAACACGTTTCGTCTTTTGTCGACGTATGCACCTTCACTAAAGTCCACCAAATGTCTCTTTGACTGTCACGTGACACACAGTCCTCCTTGTTTTCTTATCAATCTACATGTCTTACTAAATGCGAAACCTGGATATTTTTATCATTAGCCGAGAGTATCTGTGTTGCCTGAAGAAGACTATTTAGCGTTGAGAGTACATTTGTATTTGGTAATTTAGTTGGGTGTCCCAGGAGGGAAGGAAGGGGCCTTTGGGTCTTTGCTTATTTATAGTACAGTATTCGAATCCAGCCTCCCATTCATTTGTATACTTACATTGGTTTCTGGGGCTCTATACTAACCGGCAATAAATACGAACCCCCTCAGGAGCAATTCACACATGGTAGAAAAGACTACATGACTGAAGACTCGCTAAACTCAATGTTTGGGTTGTTGTAGAGGTATATCTTTGTGGGTAAACCAACAAACATGAGTAGTTGCCTGTATCTTGAAGTAATGTGCATTTTGTGTCATACAAATGTTGTTTGACTTCAAAATGTTACATTTAGCCCATTGATTGTTATATTACTAAGCGTCTTTTGGAACTATTGGCCGAATATATGTTGGCAGAATTTGGTTTATGCTGCAGTTAAGGTCTTCATCAGTCTTTTGCTACACACGCTAAATCTGGCTATGCCTTCAGACAACAATGTATTATGAAGTATGATTAATGTGGATTTGTGACAAAATATTGTTTATTATGTGCAAACAAAGTACAGTTTAAGCAGTACGGTATGGTCTCTATCTTGACATAAATCTGTCTATCTAGCACCATCCTGGGCTCCAAACACCTCCAAAATTGCTTGGGTCAGATGCAGGATCTCCTTCGGGATAATTGGCTGGCACCATCGTTTTCTTGTACTCCTCAAACCTGGCTCGCAACTTTGCCACTATGTCCGGCGTTTTGTCTGCAAGGTTGTTGTGCTCAGTAGGATCCTCTGCATGAGTATCAAAATATTTGTTGAGGGACACGCAAGTTTGTAAACTATATGCGTTTACTGCAATATTACATTCATTTTCGGAACAGTCAGTGTTCTAGGGTACGGTTTAGTTGAGTTATACTTGGATGATGATAAACATCGGTAAATGCGGGTTGTACTAGGAATTCAGTGTATACCATTGTGGAACAAACATAACCATGCATACCAACCAAGCACGCAATAAGTTAATTATCCAAGACGGGGACATTGGCTACCAGGTGTGTTAAGTACATACCTCGAACGTTAAACAGCTGGACAGGTTCATCTCCCGTGTAGTGTACTGGTTCCTCAAAGATTTCATCCTCCGTGCTGTTCATTGGCTTGTGCCAGCCGTCAAAAGCTCCAGGATACCCCAGGATTAGTTTGTAGTCTCCTACTCTGATACATAAACATTCAATATGTCTTGCGTTGTTTTTACGATTACCGGTGAAGTAAGTTGCATGTGATATTACTGACAAGCAAGGATAAGTTGGACCGGCACAGAGAACGTGTTTATGAGCAGTAGGCGGTGCTCTGCACTGAGCAAACGCATTTGGTTTGTGAAAAGTAGAGGAGATGTAGGCTTGTGCACGTGCAGTACATGACGATGAAATTGATTCCGCCGTTAGCTGCACACGCCTTGCTCATAAAACTCTTACGTGGTCGGTGTAGCACTACACTTGATCATGGACATCCAGGGGCCCAAAAGCTCGCAATGGTAAGCGCCAGTGGACGGCACTCATACATGATAACACGGGTCAAATATCAGGTCGGTGCTCAACTTATCCTCGTTTGCCAGTACATATGCTGCAAGTCGTTAATGTAAATGTACAAATCGTCGTAATATGTCACACAGACAATTCTGACAGCTTGGCACATGAAATCTAAGCTGCTAAATCACCTTATTCCAGCATGCCCTTCGAATGCAGCTTCAAAGTAATCAATGTTGTAGATGAACTCTGTCCTTGAAGAGGGGAGGCCATTTCGAATAGACTCCCACTGACTGATTCCATCAATGGTAGTTTCTGTGTCCATATACAATGAAAGACATAAAACATTCTTGCTGATTGCTTTCAAAAGAAGTATGAAACAAAATACAGTTATCTTATCAATTCTTTGCAGTTACTACATAATCGTTTGTGTTTGCCATTCTTGTGAAATTAGGGGACATATTCAAGAATCTCCTCACCCGGAGTTCCACCAGCAGCAGATACCAAAGTGGGCTTCCAGTCGACAGCGTGGATCATTCTGTTTAGAGGTAGAAGTAGATCACTTATAAAACATACCACATCTTTCAAGTTCCCAAATACAGACTATAACGTTTCAAATACGTTTCCTTGATCTACGAAATTGGAACTGAGGGATAAAAAGAACCTCATTGAAGTTGCATTTTGAATAAACGAAAGTATCACAGCTTAAAGGTCACATGTAACAAAAATCAAACGTAATTAAAACATAATTATCATTTATTCATTACATATAATATACATTGCCGATTATGAAAAAACATATAAACAAAATTATAAGCGTACAATTGCAAATCAAAAGTGCAATAATTTGTACTTGGGTTTACTTCCCTCGGAACGAAACACCCAGGATACCGAACCCAGTCAGAGCGGGTCGGTGTGCACTCAAGTGTAACGGCTGGTTCATTTGCCGATGCCCTCATGGCTCATTGTGTGTGTGTGTATACAGATGTTTGGTTTTGTAAATACATGCTCATTTTTTGTGTATAGCATTTTGCAATCAACAGACATCATAACATGTCATGTGTACAAGTATCACACCTGCCTGTCTGTGTAATTACATGATGTGACAGAGACCGAACTCGGGCCATAAATCAATGCGTTTTGTTTATGGTGTATAGCCAGATAGGTGTTAGGTTCAATTGCATGTGGTCAGTGATCGAAGTTGTGTATTGAATATTGTCATTAGCAGACAGGCAGGCAGACACATAGATGTCATTAAAACAGACATTGAGTTTTGTCTGTGACAACGACATATCTATATCACAGTTAGAAATTCTGTCTACGCTAAATAATGACACTGCTTTTAATTATCGAACTGAGAAATTAACTTGGTAAGAAGAACGTGTGGTGAAATAGACAAATGAAATAATATAAACAGTTAAATCGGTCATCTACTGTCATAACATATAAAAAGCGCCTGTGAAATATCAACAAAACATTAGAAAAATAGCTCACATCAAAGCCTTCACCGAGTATTCACCGCCAGGGAAGGTTTTCCGTCTTGAAATATCAAACGCCTCACTGGTTGACAAATAGCTGAGTAGATCTAGATCCTAACAAGGTTCCTTTATGTAATGAGTAGATTATTTACTATTTGTTTTGATTAGACTACTCCTACTCACGCCCTTATAATCCGGACATCCTACTTCCAAGCTGCGCGAACCTATTTCACTGCGCATGTGCTATGAGCGCAGCCCAGCGCAGCTGTTAAAACCACTTTTCACCTCCAGTGCTGGGGTGAATTTAATGAATCGTTTGAACTCCGATTTCGCGGGGTTTTTTTCATCGCATTATTTTTCAACTTTAAAAGTTGAATTTGCATTTTTGATGATTTGTATCTGTAAATCCACACCGAAAGGTATCAGAGACTGCAAAGTTGTGTTTTACGTTGCATGTGACCTTTAAGCTGAGTGAATTTACAGTTTTATGACAATACGTACACGGTCATGCAATCGTTTCCTGCATTCAACTAAGAAAAATACAGGTATTTTACTGACTAACCATGTGGCTATTGAAATTTCACATAAGATCGTTTATTTTATCTTCGATTATCACTTAAAGACTTGTGTAATGTAGAATTGTTGAATATGAGCTAAGTAAATTCTAAGGTGTTACCCATCGTATGTCGTCCCAGTTTTCTGTAGCCCTGCACCATACATGAAGGATGCCCCCTTCGTGCCCCCCTCCCAGATCGTGTACTTCCCTCCTCTCAGAGGCCAGTTGTTAGCGTACGCTTCGATGGGGCCTCCATTCTGAATGGCCATTGGTTTGTTACAATAAAGATTAGCACTTTGGTGAAACCAATGTGTTCGACAAATACATTTATTTTGAACGTCAGTCATTTTCTATGTTTCATTAACTAAAGCAAACGTACCCATATATCCGTTGGAGATATTCCAAACACACTCATACTTCTGGGAAAAGTACAATATGTATTACATAGCACTGATTTTGGCATGTGCATGTATAATTTTGTCAGCCATACAGTTGCAGCCTCTTTCATTCATGATCATAGGAGTTATTCTTTAAAAGTGAGTGAGTATGAGTTCCACGCCACTTGTAACAATATTCTAGCAATATTGCATCGGGATACACAAGGAATTGGCTTCGCATAAGGGGAATCGAACCCAGATCTTCGGTGAGACGAGCAAACCGCAAATGTAACCAAACCACCCCTCCTATTTCAAAAAAGAAAGAACAATGAATAATGTTCGTTTGCAGAATGGAAAAAGTCATAATTGTGTTCACATTTAGCTTGCAAGTGTTTTCACACCTTTGGGCTCATTGGTCATAATTCAGGGAGCCGCCGACACAGCACAAGATACGAGCATCATTCTCTACAAATTGATCGAAAATTCTGCTCAGCTACGATAATGCAACTACTTACATCTGCGGTGAATAGAATCAGAGTATTTTCAAACAAGCCCCGATCCTTCAATGCTTTGGTAACATTCCCTACTGCCTCATCGAGTGCAGACACCATTCCTGTAGGGAATAGAAGTTGCCTGCATCAAGATGTTGAGCTGTGTGAACTATATGAGGATCATCTTGAGTCAACAAAAGTGATACAAACTTTGCTTTCTGGGGGAAATTATTTACACAGATAATTGACTGACGAAAAAGATGGGAAATACGAACATAAACTTGCATACCGCTGTACTTTCTTCGCCCTTCATTGATCACGTTCGGATACATGTCCTCGTACTTTTTTGGCACCTGTAATATCCAGAGATAGATAGATAGAGAGATTGATAGATAGTTCGAGATAGGTAGATAGATGGATGGATGGATGGATGATGGATGGACAGAGAGAGAGATAAATAGATAGATTGATAGATACATAGATAGATAGATAGATGATGGATTGATGGATGGATGGATGGATATATATAGATAGATAGAGATGGATGGATGGACGGATGGACAGAGAGAGATAGACAGATATATAGATAGATAGATGATCGATCGATAGATATATAGATAGATGGATAGATAGATAGATACAGAGATACAGAGTGAGATAGATAGATGATACATAGACAGATGATAGATAGATAGATAGATTGATAACTGATACATGCATTGACAAATGGAACACATACATATGTATCGAGCCCAAATGAGTATTCATCAACATACACATCATCATGTTGCTATGATTCATAAAATACTTTTCTAGTTGTAATGAGAATATCCAACCGGCTCTTTTGAATGACTCTTAGCAGCAAATACCTTTTAAGAATAATCTGCAGAGAATATTGCAACACCGACTACATTCGCAACCCTCAAGAATATATACAGGTACACGATCTCAATATACTGTGGATTTTATGTACCTCAATTGGACCATGCACGCTTTGATACGGGAGGTACATAAACAACGGCTGTGATACATTGTGACGATGGATGATGTCAACGGCTCTCAGGCCGAATGTGTTCTGAAAGGAGGAATACATGATAAAAAGGAATATTTCACAATGGTCGAAAAAAAAACCCGACTCACTCAGGAATTAGTCATATCACAGAAAATATTCATATTATTAAGCACAATGGTTATGAAACGTGTCAACTGAAGTTAGTACCACTTAGTTCAATGTCAAGCGGTATTGCATACTCACAGCAGAATATTCTCCAGAATAATTTCTTGCAGGGGTTTTATTATCCCTGAAGTCCAAGTAATCCCCTGGTAAAATATAAAACATTTATACAACCATACATCTGTTTACGTGTCCATCAATGAAACCGAAACATAAATACATGAAACCGATTGGGACATTAAATTTGATAACTGCGATTGTTAGTGACCATACAATCTAAGCGGGTTAAAGTAGGAGATGATGTAAAGCCTGCTAGGGCCCATGCCTGCAACCAAGGTACTATTAGTTCCAATGGTCCCTAGTAAGGTGATCTATCTTCAGTTGTCAATAGCCTGTTACTGTTAAATATAGTGATGTCATTTTGTGGTAACAAACACAGTCAGTCGAGGGTTATACACAGTCTGTGATAATCTATGTATTTAACTCTTATTGGTAGGATCCTATATTATCTAACTATATATCATTAATTCATAACGTTTTTAGTCACGACATGGCTTAAATACTGCCGATGTGAATATAATAAACTCTCTCACTCACTCACAGACTGAAACAAGCTTTCATACAACCACGCAGGAGTAATACGCACTGATGCTGTGGCTGAAGTAGTCTTCACCGGCATTATAATAACCAAAGAAGGTGTCGAAGCCTCGGTACGTTGGAGTGCACTCCCACTTACAATAACCAAGATGCCATCTGAAATGACAGTGCGCACATTATATGTACAGTCAGTTTAAAATACTAAAACTAATCACATGTAGTGTTGTATTTTTTAAGGATGACAACTCTTCATGGACTCATACCTCAGAGACCTACATGGCATGAATGCAGACATAAATGAACCCATATACATGAATATGTCCTAGAATGACAATTTCCAGTATAACAAATAACTTGTCATCATAACATTCTTTGTATATCCTTTATTTCTTGTAATCTTATGTGTTGCATGCACTTTTCGTTATTTTTTAGTTAACACAACACCCACTTTCCAATTATGTGCGTAGCATAGCCGAGTTTCTTTAGTTCCTGGGGGAGGAATGTGAAGTTGAGGGGCACACACACTTTTTGGTCAAGTTTCAGTGCCATATGCTGAATAAAATAAATTATCCTTGTGAGAACTTCATGTATGCATATAGGGAACAAAAAATGAACCCAACTTTGATCCAAAGTTATAAAAGAGCACAAAAGGAAGATGTAGACTAGCGAATTCAATAATTAACATGCAAGTGAGTGAAAAGTAACAGATACGCCTTAAAGACAATCAAACAGTAAGATATAAGAATTTTTAACGCCACACTCGGCAATATTCGTAAGTGAAAAGATTTACCCTCAGGTAAAGATGATCAATATATAACACATGCAAGTTTTCGAGGATATCCTACTTGTATTATGACCTGTAGTGTTCATATCCTGTTCATTATCATCTTTATATCCCAATATTTCTTAAGTAAACAACATAGTTACCTGCATGCCTGCATGGAAAGGATACATTCCACTCATAAAGGCGGTCCGGGATCTGAAACAGCGAGGACAATGGTAACTGTATAATATTGCATTGTTGCGGCCCTTGAAGCCAGTTTAGCCACTTTTGGGGTGTTTTTATACAGTTCTTAAATGTAGATGTAGTAGGCTTTAGTACTGAAGAGCAAAAACGCAACCGTCAGATGCGCCTGCACTGCACATGCCGGACCCTGCGTTTGATGGATCATGAAAGGCCACAAAAGGCATACGGAATGTATAATGACACTGTAGCCTGTAGGTGACACAATAATGCCAAGATTGAATAATGCAGTAATGCAATTGGGAGACTGTAAACGGGCTACTCAATAAGCTGTGGCATGGCACTGAAGCGTGTCCTGACAGACGATCTCTGCTTAATAGGCACGGAAGAACACTACTCAAAGTGTTCCTGACAGGCCAAGGTCTGGTTATCCCAGCGTAAACCGTCGTCACTCAGGATTGATAAATCCGGCTACGTCACTCAGGATCGACATATCAGGGTGTATCACTCAGGATCCATACATCCGAGAGCGTTACCCTCGAAATACAACCGAGCATGAGTGGTAGAACATTCCAAAACATGCTGTATAACGTTGGATGTCATCCATTTGTGGTCCCTATCAACATGGTTGTGGTAGTCTTAACCGTTACTGATATTGTGTCTACCACTGTGTCACTCACATGCATGTGCACATGTTCGAGATGGTTCCCCAAAGACACCGTTTGGGTCATGTCTTGCTTTATCCGCTTCCCTTGTTTTGTTTGTGACAAATCTGTTTGTTTTTGAAGAAAATATATATTTCATGAACAAACATGGAGAATATATAGCCTGAACCGTTCGGCTTTCAAATATTATAATACCATCTGTGATATTTATTATAGTTTCACAAATGTAAATGATTAAGTAAAGCAACAATTTACGGGCTGCAAAGAGGCTGGACGTATGCATTATCGAAGATGATTCCCTCTGTGGCCAGTTTGTCGATGTTTGGGGTTATCATGTCAGGATTCCGGAAACCAAGGTCATTCCATCCTGCACAAACACAAAGGATTTGCCAAGTTAATCTCTGCATTGAAATAAGACACACTTAGAATGACATAATATTTTAGTAGGTACTTCACATTAAATCACTTATTGTAATATTGCTGAATGTGGCGTTAAACAACAAGCAAAATCACATTTCCTTAAACTCACCTAAATCATCTGCCACAATAAATACGATATTAGGACGTTGTGCCGATGACAACGATAAGAAAAACAGGAACAGAGCAAGGAGAAGCCGAACCTCCATCATGTTGGCTTACTCAACATGAATTAAACTGCCCCTTTTATCTGCCAATATAGACTTCTAACTCTCCTAGACGAGTCTGATAAAGCATTTAACTAGGTCTCACTTTTGTTCTACATTGTTGAGATAATGGTGAAGGTCACATTTTTGGAAGCAAAGTACAGTTGTAGGTACGTGTAATCACCCTTTACGAGATTTATGGAAAGGTGGATATTGTTGTGGAAGAATCTAAATGAAACAGTGTTGAACATTAGCACATTAACCATGTACGACAGGGTTGTAACGGCTGCGATATGCAGTCAAGACTGAGACTTGCAGTCCTTACAGATGCTGACATTTTGTAAGTAAACATCTGCGCTCTTTCGAAAGAGTGAGGGAGTTAAGATTTTAAGTCACATCGGCAATATTTCGGCCATATCGTGACGAAAACATGTTATAGATTTGTAATGATTAAAAATAAATTATCAACACCTGTCAACGAAGGACAGTAAAATATCTAGATTATCACAGATATATATTTAAAACTAGTAATTAAATCTAAAACCGTTTAACTATAGAGGACGATACAATATAAAAACAAGCTATAGGTCGCCAACAACTGAAGGTAGATCACCATACCAGGGACCATTGGGGACTTACAGTACCTTTGCTACCTGCATGGTCCTCTTTCGTAAGAGAAGAAAGTAGACGTGTATAAGATGGCCAATATATAATTCAGTAGGTGATACCGGCCAGGTCTTCCATGGACATGGAAGTATTGGTGACCTACCATCATGCATCCTTTCAAACACGGTGGGCGAACCTAAACTATATTGTTGTGATCGGTCGTCAGCGTGAGTGTATTTAGTTGTACGCTGCTTTTAGCAATATTCCAGCAATATCACGGCAGATGGACACCAGAAATGGGCTTCACATATTTCACACATGTAGGAGAATTGCGCCCGGGTCTTCGGCGTGATGAGCAAACGCTTTAACAACTCGCGTACCCCGCCTCCTCGGCCGTCAGAAGAAAGATCATTGCATACAAGATTTGATTACGAAACCACCCGAACACACCCGAAATATTGCAATGGAATATGCAGTCCATCCGCATACGTGTGTAGGGAGTCATTTTTTATTTTGATACTTCAGTTAAAGGTTGTCAAATTGCTCTGAGCCCTTAGTATATTTACATTATCCATAGTTGCCTGTCAGCTTCCATTTTTTGTATTGACGCAGTAATTTCGATAAATTCAGGACATATGCTATCTTTGTTGTGGGCATGTTTCCGATTGGTAGATATATTGAGTCTTTGAATGGCATGGTAGAGATATTGCCAATATGTTTCTACCACTTGTCTCAGGTTGTGATTTGCAAACTTTTAAATAGGTCTCTGCAGATACATAATGTTAAGAAAGTATCATGCACAGGACACCCACTACAACAGCATATCCAGTAAATCAGAAAGTAGGCTTTAGGAAATCGAGCCCTGTTCAGGTCCCCGGAATCCACGTTCGAACAAATGATTACAAGTCGTCCATATACAGCTGATCTTCATGCTCGGAGACCACGTGTTATACCACCATTAACACGCGAACATATTTTAGCCAGTCGCCAATGGTGGTCGACTACGGGAAATATCTGTGATGTTTTTAGGAGAGTATTTAGTGCAAAGCAGTAAACATGCACAGGCAAATTGCCTTCAATTCATTTTCAATTCGGGTATATCACTGCCTATAGTTACGTCGTACGACACCGTTATTTAAAGCAACAGTGGTTGCCGTAATCTTGAAGTTTGATTGCTCGTGTGTGTTCTGAAGACATATGTTGTTTGCGTTGTACAGATGTATTTAGACACTGAGGTCGCACAAGTATCATTATAAATAATAAATGATGTGATCATAATGATATTTGAACGATTAGGACAATTTTAGAAAAGGTAAAGGAAAAGAAAATGCACATTATATGCTTGGTGGTTCCATCTAAATACATTTAATTCCACCATGTATATGGTATAGGTGCACTGGACTAGGGCCTTCAACAAATGGGTTTGTCTCTCAAAAAGGTGGCCAGGCGTGCTGACATTCAACGTATCATAATTGTTAAGATTGTAGCGATGCTCATGGTTTTGATCACCGGATTGTCTAGACCAGACTCGATTCCAAACATACAGCTGGACTATTACTTAGTGCGGCGTTAAATAACAAACAAACAAAACAAATAGTGAATCCCTCTAGACATAACCAGTTAATGTTTCCATAAAGATTTCGTCATACTCGTAGATATATGCTGGGATTTATACAGCTGCAAGGCATGTCTGACAAAAGTACATGTTTTGCTGTGGTAGCTTTATCTTTGTGTCGGTGAAACTAAGTTAACGCTGATATGCCGCAACACATGTTTATCGTAAGAGGTGAATAACGGTATCGAGTTGACAAGTTTGCTGACCTGCTTCACGCATGTCACTGGTTGCGAAGATCTATGCTCGCGATGTCAGCCACTGGATTGTCTAGTTTGGACTCTCGCGAGATTATTTACAAGAGGAATATATTTTTAGAATCAGCATTGAACAAACAGCCAACAAAGAAACAAATCTAAGAGTGGGTGAAAAATTAACGTTATATCGGTCATATTTCTGCTATATGGTGACGAGAAATTGAATAACAATACTGCAAAGATGAGAAAAGGAAAGCTGCTATCGATTGAAGGAGAAAAATTAGATCAATCATCACAGGTATACGTTAAAATTACCTGATAGCATTTAGCAATGACCCTTGCTGCATTTACACCATATCTTCAGATGCTAGCGATTCTCGACAAAATTAGCAATGCTTTAAACGACACATATTCTGCGGTTAAAAGCGTGGTAAAAATAAAACATTAAACATTAGCAAGAACATTAAATAATTCAATGAGAAGGATGTATGTTTGACATTGTTTCGGTAGCCTGGAGGCACGAGAGATGATCTGAAATTATGATGAATGTGTATATTTAGAATGGTTATTTAAATAGTTTAAATGGGGCTGTGATTTGATAATCTTGAAGATATAGCCGGCATCCAATGACAGTAGCACTAGCAACTTGGTTACCATCCTTGCATCCATCTGTGAAGATAGATTTGTGAGTTTCATAAGTGTTTCCTAATTCGTTATTTTGTTGTTGGTGAATAAGCTGATTTGTTTCAGATTTCTTTAGTTTGATAATTACTAGGATTGCCCCTAGCTTTACTAACTGCCGTGGTAGAGAAGGGGAAAAGTTGGGTTAGGGCTATGTTGTCGAAGGTTCGAAGGTTTTATTTTTCTCAACTTCCACCAACGGCGGTACATGAGTGAAGTTGAAAACACCTTTTCTTACACACCCGTGGGTGAGAAACCCATGTGAGAAAACTGGTATCACACATATGTGTGAGATCGATTTCTAATCCCGTGATTGGCTACTCCATGGTGATGACCTAGGGTCAGGGTATGACGGACTACTTTCGTGATTAAACTTCATTGATAAGTTACTCGTGCTTCAATCGAACAGAAACCTGTTACTCGTGCAAAAAATACCCCTCTACACCTATCTGTTATTTTCGCGATTGCAACATAAACAGGTATTTATACAATGAGTTACAAGTAGAATAAATATAACACAAATCTATTTATTTTCTAATTCCTTTTATTAAAACTCTGATTTCTAGTCATGAATTCAAAATGGCTCCAACAATCTGTGATACCTGAGTAAACAATTATGTGAAAATCACCGTTAGACATAAAGCCCTTGATTCCCTTCGAATATTCAAAAATGTACAACACTGGTACTTTTACTGGAGAGATGCGACAAGTGTCATGTGTCGTCTTGCAAAAATACTTGACACGATAACGTCAGTGCCTGGCGAGAGATCAATTTGCCTTGTTGTTTCTTTGATGCATTGATGAAGATGACATTTTTCACTGATACACATGATGGAGACTCACTTCCAGCTCCGAGATACTATGTGATTCTAATGTTATCAAATTCACTCATGACAATCTGAACCAAAACACACTCGTTGAAACAATGTACAACATGGTACGTTTTGCAAGGCTTCATGAGTGCAAATGGCGGCACACGTCCTTTCTGTTCAATCGAACATGTACAGGAACGGTTGATCTACCCATAAGTCATTGCTCAAGATATTCCTCTGACACATGATAATGAAAAGTTTATGTCTTGATAACTTACAGGATGTAATCAACTCACATTTCATACTGTAAACTCCATCACATTCCAAGTGGCAGTTTCTGGCTCGGGAAAACGAGAATGATGTGGCGAAGAAGAGTAGTCCCCCATTGACAGTGAACGTAGCCTCAGCAATGTCACATTCAATCACACTGGGTGCACCTAATTACACACACTCAAAACCTTTGGCTCCGGTCGGTGGTAGAACATTGAGCGTAAACTGGTACACAAGTACAGATCCCCAATGTGCAGAGATATCCAAAACAATCTTCCGATGATGACGACAACCACTAAGCGATAACGATGACGTCACACGCTCAAATATTTTACGCTTGCAAGAATTACAATCATCCATATTTGCATGGTAACATCATCGTTTTAGAGGGTTTAATTAATTTTCAGTGATCTTATCTAGTTATCATTATCACCATTGCCTTGATGATGCGAAGAGGTGGCAGAAACCTTTTTGTGGAGGGTCACCATGGGGATGAGTAGTGATTAGGAAGCCAAGTGACGTCACTCATTCATAAACGTTGTGTTGTGTATTATTGCGCACCTAAGATTAGAAAACATGAAATTTGAATCTATTCGACCATAAAATGATACGATTTATGGTGTGTAAGAAACAGATTACTGTACTCGTGTCTGTCAGATACCATTTATCTTACAACTCGTTGTTTCAAAACGTATTTAACTCGCTTTCGCTCGTTAAATACGTTTTTGAAACAACTCGTTGTAAGATAAATGGTATCTGACAGACACTCGTTTAGTAATCTCTATGTATACATATACACCAAGATGACATTGGAGAGATATAACTGAGGCAGGATCATGTACAATACAATATACATACATATTTATATATACAAGGATGCCATTA